AGTGTGTTTCAGAAACAGGAAGGCATAGGGAGTAGAGCAGGTATTTTTCTCTTGGATTATAAAACTTGCTTTCTCTTGTATCTTTAAAACTTTATAAAACATTTTCTAAACATTTGAACAAGAAATCATAATAGGCGTGATTATTTTTACCTTTTAAAGAATATTTTTTTTTCCAGTTCAGTTTTACTTACTTGGTTCATGATATACAACTGAGACACTTGAAAATCATTTTAATCATGCCAATTTCAAAAAGAAGTCTTATTACAGAAAAAGTATATGAAAGTGGAAGATATGCAAGTCTGTTAACATATAAAATGCACCACAAAATGGGAGGGAAAGTATTGGTTAAATATGTACCTATAGGTTTAACTTAGCCCAAATCCTTTATTCAGATGGTTGGCTTCCAAGAGCATGGTGGGTGGGTGGGTCTACTTCAGGGCTTCCTAGGCGTTATTCACTTTGACCTTCAGCAAGCACTCTGTCAATAATAGAGCCCCTCAATTGTACAAAAATGTCAGTTCACATAGGGCTGTCAGTATTATTTTTTATTTCTCACTCTGTAAAGACTGACAACTTGAACATTTTAATAATGGTCAAATCATATTAGGTCAATAGAAGATGTAAATAATACTGGGTGGTATAATTGCATTTCCCCCCTTTTGGGTTAGAGTTGACAAATACAACTATCAGCTCATTATTATGAGTCTAGGACGCAGGACTTCTCCAAGTAACACACATTTCTTATTACAGTGTGATGACTACAAGTGTGCCATAACATAGCTAGTGTTTTGATATTCTTGGTATCTGTCTTCCTTTACTCCATGCTCTCATAGGCTTTACCCTTACCTTTTTTTTAACCTACTGTAATTTCTTGCTGGAAAAACAATCAGAAGTTAAGTGCATACATTGAATTATGGTGATTATATAAAAAGATCAGGGGTAAGAAACCTCTGTGTGTGTGTGTGTGTGTGTGTGTGTGTGTGTGTGTGTGTGTGTGTGTGTGTATGAGAAGAACGAGAGAGATGTGTTATATACAGGAGTGTATATTTCTGCTTGTAGGAGCTTGTATGACGTGCATGCCAAGTAATGACAGATCTGAGAACACTGCCATATCAGGCTTGACACATGACTCTTCAAAGTATTTAAGGAGTGAGTTTGCTGTGTGACTTAAGAAGAATAATGCTCCATGTTTCTAACAGCAAAACAAAACTCCCAATTTACAAATGAACCTGGAGGTCCATCTAATACAGCCTCCTGCAGGTTTGTGTTTTACTGGCAGATCTCTGTGCTTACCCAGTATGCCAGGAGTTAGGAGACACGCAAGGACTTAAGTAAATGAGACCTGGACCTGACTTACAAAACTTCATGGAAAATAGAATTAAAAGAAACTTCTTTTCTGTAAAAATTTTCTGAAAGACATGCATATTTTTCAACACATTAAAAAAAATTCCTTGTATGCAGGGACTTCAACTTTTGACACCAAATTTTAAGTTACTCTTTGAATTTCGCAGGTACTTTTTGAAGTATCTACCTATACAAGTAAAAATCTAACTCCTAATTCTAGAACAAAAATGATGTCATGCCAAATTTTCCTATCAAATATAATCTTCACATGAGTTCAAAGAAAACAGAGCCCACCCTGGACTGTAGTCATTGAGGAAGGTGACATAAAGAAGGCAGGAGCTGAGTTCAATTTTAAAGGCTAAAAAGAAGAAGCAAAAGAAAGAGCTGTTCACAAAAAACTGGGAAAGAGAGAGTCCAAACGAGCAAAGCCATCAAAAACAGTAACAGTCTTGAGAGGTAAGTTTAGGAAGAAGTCAGCTGTTGTCATACTTAAAGACAGAGAAGGGTAGAAACAAACACAATAAAAAATAGATAAGCATGTGTATTTTCTATGTAGTCACTCTGCACCTAAACTGCTTTAGGGGCAAAGAGGAGGGTTGAAACATGGACACACGCTGCATGTTGTGAACCCAGGGAAAATGTGTGAGATGTCAGAGGAGGATGGCAGTTACCCTAAAGGCTAGGAGTTCACGGCTGAGCCAGAGGCAGGTGACAGATGAACAGGCAGAGTGGAACCTGGGCAAGTCCTTGACCCTTGGGGCTTTGGCTTTCAATACAGATGAGATCTCTTGCAAATCGTGGTGACCTGAAAAACTTCTACAACTTTTCTTTGTACCAATATAAAGAATAAATTCTCTTCCCAACTATTATGGAAAACAGAATTTAAAATATTTGTAATTTTGACTTTAAGATATAGGAAAGAAATTCACATTTCTATTTAGGACAAATATTAACAGTATGCAAAAGTAACAATAGTTGACAGATATTTAAAAACAAAGATCCTTCTTTTGTCCTTCTAACTATGTCTAGGATTGGATACAACTAATCTTTATGAAAGTTAGCCATAACCACATAGATAGAGCATTCCTATATGACGTCTTATGTAAGGATATGTAGAACAGATTTAGCAAAAAAAAAAGCATTAAGTACTTTGAAAGTTACTTATACAAACTCTTTAAACTCACATTCATTAATGAATTATTGATGAAATGAAAATTAACTCCTGAGAATGTTTCCTAAGTAGAATACTTCTATGTATAGATATTATACTATGATGTTTCAACCAACATTAATTATATCCTCCTAATGCCTACTGTCTTACTCTAAAAAGTTAATAAGACCCGTAACACATCATAACTAATAGGAGTGTGGTGCCTGTTGCTTAGGCAACAGAATGAATGCATGCAGGTCAGAATATGTTTCAAGAAAAATAAAAGGTAAAAAAGATACCGAGTGCAGATCAAGCAGGTCGAATAGCTTTCTAACCACATTAATGAAATCTGTTTCTTAAAGTGGGCCAACCACATTATTGCACTTAAGTTCAGAATTAAATAAATCAGATTTCTGAATGTCAATAAGTAATTTCTATAAAGGTAGACATTTATCTCTTCTGTTCATAGCAAATAAATGGTGCATGGCAGCATGTAAACCATTAAATGATAAGAGTGTACTACGATTTACTTCAGTTTCATAATTAATTAAACCCTCTAAAAAAGAAATCAAAATGGTGTTTTTATCCTAAAGCATACCTCATGAAGAAAGTACCTGATTGGTTTATCTGAATTTACAATGCTTTCTTATTTTTTGGAAAATCAGATATAAGACTTGGAACTAACTATGTAAAGACAACAATATTATTAGATCTTATTTTTGTCACATTTCTTCAGCATTTTACATTCCAAATAATTTTGTATTGCTTGTACATAATTTACTCGTTTTTTTTTTATGATCTCTACCCAAGTATTTATTTTAAAATCTGTTTGATTAACCTTTCAGTTCAAGGCTTTTGAAAAGAGGTTATATTTACTTATAATTTTTAACATCCAGAAGAAACTGAGTTGAATTAAAATTTTTCATTGTGGCCAAATGATGTGAAGAACCCAAACACCTAAGTTCTTACAGCATCAGAATGAATCTGGACAAGGGTTTGAGGGTATGAATAGGAGATGGGGAAAGAATAAAAGACTGGGAGACATTGTAAACATAAATAATGATGAATGGACTTCTGTTTGATAATTCCTCTCTTTGTGCCCTATGTTTAGCATCCTTAGTCTGTCCCAAGTCTGATCAGTTTCCCAAGACACCACGACAGTGGAAGAACTTTCACTTTTTTCCTATTTTATTACCCATAATATATTGTCTATTGAACCAGTGACAGTGCTTGTGAATACAACAAAGATAACAGTAGCTGAATAATTCTTTATTGAAAAAAAGAGCTCATCAAAAGTTCTAGGCACACAATTACTCACAGCTCATATTTTCCCCTAATTTTAAAAGCTAATGGACATACACATTTTTTGGAGCAGGAGCAAAAGTTTAGAATTTTTAAAAATCTTCCAATCAAGCTTGGAAAAAAGTAATATCAAGTGGGAATACAAAGACCTGACTAGCAGTCATTATTTTATCAGTTCTTGTATTAGTGAGCTGCAAGTGTCAACTCCAGCATTTTACTTAGGAGCAGCGACTGCTGCTCTGAACCAAAAGTGTGTTACATGCCTGTATTTTGAAGGTCTCCCTAAATCTGGGAACCAGGGGTATGTACAATGGGACCTTAAAGGCAAGGAAAGGTAACAAGGGCTGTGACGTAGCTGAACAAGGGGAGCTTCGGAGCACTGGGGGACGTATGGAAATGATGAGGAAGCTGGGTTGCCAGTGTGCACCCCTTCCCACCCTCCTTCCTCACCTATAGGCACCGCGGTGGCAAGTTTGCACACACCAGATTTAGACTGCATGGACACCAGGATTCAGAAGCGCACGAATGTACTTAGTCCATCGACCTCTCTTTCTAAAAAAGCTGGCAGTTAATTGACCCAAGTGTTTGTTTTCCACCCAAGGTAATAAACAATGCTTCGCGGCTTTTCCATCAACATATGTAACTAATCGACTGCTTCCCATAATTGACTATCTGAAGCAGTTTTGCTAATGAACTGAAGGTCATTTTCATGACTGAAACTGCTTATTGAACAATTATCAGGGGAAAAAAAATGATCTTCACATCATCAACATAACAAACTGTCTAATTAATTACTGCACGCTGATGCCGGAGGAGAATAATGTTTCAGGAATCTGGAATTAGCTGCAGAGTGCCATAACTTAACTGGATATTCTAAGATCACAGATTTATACTTTTTTAAAAATCACACACAAAGAATGACAGGGAAAATAAATATGTTAATCTTTCACTGTCTATAAATAGTACTCTCACTGGTTCATTCACATAACACACATGTATATGGATACAGACAGACCTCATTTTTCAGCTTTGTGTCTACATGTACACGGTAAGTTCAGCCCTCCGGGCATCCGATTTTCTGATGCAGCTACATATAGAAAACTGACCGATTTTGTACAAAATCAGGCTGCCTCTGAGCCATGTAAGACACATAAGAAGCAAAGACAGACAAAAGGCAGCTCCGTGGACACAGAGAGCGTCTTACCATAAACTGCACATTGTCAAATCCATTAGCCATCAGGTGGTTCTCGTACTGAGGTAGCCCAATGCTTTCCAACCATTGTCCCACTGTTTGAACAGGGCATCTGGGTCCTGTAAGAGGATGAAGAGGGAAGCGTTTAAGCAGGGAGTAGCCGTCCACGGGGTAATAGCGGTAGTCCTGGGCTGAGAGGTGGCATTGCCACATCATGCTCCTGGGAAAGTTGTTATCAAAGGAGCCCGCCAGCTTGATAGATTAACGTTCTCAGCGAGAGAGCAAAGTCAGAAGTAAAACATAGTTTGCCAGGCAGGCTGTAGAGTATGACTTGATCCTAGCTCCACATTTCTTACATATTAATCTTTACTACCGACCAGTACGTCATACAGCCCCCAAAACCAGGCAGCAGAAGAAGGCATATCAAGCTGTCAGCTTAGGCTGGTCTGCGTTCTGTGTGATTGTTGGAGTACTCCACAATGAGCAATGCACGGCCAGCAGCCAGCATTCTTTTTATCAAATACTCCTACACTCATCAGTATGCAGCTCCATGCTCCTGGCTCCCCCTCACTCTCTCCCCTTCATTACCCAGCCCAGGCTACACCTCGCATTTTCAATAATAGCCATCAGATAAGGCAGATTTTTTTTTTTTGTCTGCAAGCTGTAAGCCTGCTGCTGCTGCTCCCTCCTACACACCCATCCAAGCGTCAATCTTGAATGATGAGAGCAGTCAAAACAAATGCAGAAAATAGCAAGACTCAAAAGCAAACCGAAGTGCTCAGATCTGAATTGAATCTTCATCCTGGTCATACATTGCTGAGCTATTTGTTGTGGAATTTTACGTTTCAAAAGATACCAGAAAATGCAAAGCTGGAGCTATAGCTTTGAACAGAGCTCACCACGGGTTCCCTTTTCCCATGTTCCTTTCTTTCCTTTTCCGCATTTTAAAAACACAGCACAGATAAATGTTTATGATCTAAAGCTTTACAGTGTTGAGAGAATAATTGCGCGTTTTCTTTGCCATGCTGTATCAAAATAAACCTGGGATTTTCCCCCCCCCTTTTTGAATTATAGCAAAACACAGAAACTGCAGTGCAATCTTAGAAGTCAAGAGAATTCATTTCCCATTTGCTAGGGCTGCTTCCAAACAAACAAACAAAACATTTATTATTCACAAAAAATCCTGTTCCCCTCTGATATTTATAACCCAATCCACCAGGCTTACTACTGTAAAATAACTATAAAGGTAACAGTAACTGAATCAGAAATTTTAATTCAGGAACAGAAATAATTCAAGAATAACCGATGTAAATGTGTGAGTTTTACTGAATGGCAAACAGACTGCATAATTTATTTAATAATTGGGAGGAACCAGGGATTAATAATAGAACCCAGAGGACATGATCATTGGAAAGAATAGATTCCTAAGACTGAGAGAAGTCACAGAAAGCTTAGCCTACATTCCCTATGGAGGAAGCCCTGGCTGCAGTGTTCTTGGAAGACTATCTTTCAATGCACGTGCTCCAGAACCACCTGGACCAGAGCTCTAAGCACTTAGGAAGAAGCTTCCATTTATGAGAAAGCTATTTCACTTCCTACCTTACTCCTACTCGCTTCTTCCAGGTCTGCCTTTGGAGTCACACAGATTGGAAACAGTTCCTCTTGCACACAAAGCACTTTAAGAACTGAAGATAATTCTCTCGTTGAATCCCAGTATAGTGCCTGGCATATATCAATGCGCAGAAAATATTTATTGAATGACATATTGCTTTTCTTCTTTCTCCAAACCTCGTCTTTGTCTGTTTCTGTTGTTGAGGACGTTGTCCATCCTCCTCACACGCCAGCATCAAACCTCACGACACCTGTGCTCCTCTCACTGCTCCCAACAGTCTCCCTGCCCCTGTCAACCCCCTGCACAGTGTCACTCACACCCAGGATGCTGCTTCTTGTTTTATGTTGATGGAACAGGCATTTACTCAGAATTTTCTTAGTCTAGGTCCACCTCATTTAATGTGGCAATGGTGCCTATATGACGTTTAAAAATTCTGTTTTGTCCATGGTACCAGAATAATCACTGTAAGATATGGTTCTCATTACTAATTTTCCTTTCAAAGCTTTTTTTGTGGTTTTTAGTTGGCTTCAAAATAAATTCTGAATCCTTTTATGATATTTTGGGGTTTTCATAACAGACTGCATTTTTCTCACAAATCAAACCTCCAAAAGGACCCTGATTCAGGTCAAGAAACTTTTTCATTTCAAAATAATATTTAAGATATGTCATCTTTTTCTAGAAATGCTTTGATGGAGTCTTAAGATCCTTGACATAGTGTATTTTTTTCAGTATGAAATTATCCAACTAGAACTTAAGAGTACTTAGGAAATTATATTTTCTAAATCTTGCTTTTCTCACTCAATAACGCTTTATGGAAATTCTACTAACAAAATAATAAGCTCCAATTTAACTACATATTATTTTAAAATGACTGTATGGATACTCACGTTTTTGGTTCTTTGCCTGATATCTCTAAACACTTTCTTGACTCTACATTTTTTATAAAATTTGAGATAACTGTAGACTCACATGCACTTACTAGCTGTAATACAGAGAACAATTTTGTATATATACTTCACCCATCATTCTGTAGTAACACCTTATGCAACTACGACCTGATAATGACAACTTAGTAAGTGATGTTGATAAAATCCACCGATCTCCTATTTAGCTTTTACCTGTTTTCCATGCTCTCTTTTGGGTGTCAGTGTTTATGTGCATGAATTCTATGTGATTTTATCACATGTGACATCATTTGACCATCACTGCAGATGGAATACGGATAATACCCATGGAGACAAGGCTACCTCCCTCCATTTTTTTATCTCCTGCTAACTTCTGATTTGCTGCCTATCTCTATAATTTGGTCATTTCTATAAAGTTTCATGAATGGAATCACTTAGTACGTAACCTTTGGGGACTGTCTATTTCTGTTCAGCATAATTTCTCTGAAGTTGACACAAAGTTTTTTTTTTTTTTGCTAAGTATTCCATTGCACAAGTGTACCATGGATCATTTAATCCTCATTGTTCTTTAGAATGGTTTCACCATTTTACATCCCCCATAAGCAACGTATGATACTAAGAAACTTCGTATCCCTCTTACTACTGAAAAATTAAACCTTCAGAATATTTTTTCTTTCCTATTCTCCTTTTCCTATAATCTTGTTTGAGCTGTAGAATGCTTTTCCTTTAAGCATCTGCCTTTTTCTTCATCAGTTCTTAGGTTATGTTGATAACAAGTAAGTAAATTTTGTTATAATTTAATACTATAATTTCCTTATAGTATCCTTTTTCCATGTAGTATCATTGTTTTTACTCTGTAACCAGTCATTAAGCATTCGTCTTGCATCCTACCAACTGGGTTATTCATTTCAATTTGTATTTAACTATTATACAAGTTCATTGCTTACCGCTATTTTATATCTTCATAACCACCTTGATCTTCAGATTTTTATTTCCATTTATTTAGGTTTATTAGAGTATTTTCTCATATATTTAGAAAATGTTTTTACTGAAAATCAAAACACAGTGATTCAAAACATACTTTGACATACAGCTAAAGTAGCGCTTACAGAAAAATGCATATGACTAAATACGTTCAATAGAAACAGAATTTCAGGGACAGACATTCTGGCATAGCAAATAAAGACACCAACATCTCATTAGGGCATGGTTTGTTGGCAATGGCTCCTCCAGTACCAACCCAGCTCCCTCCTGATGCACTTGGGAAAGCAGTACAAGATAGCCCGAAGGCTTGACCCTTGTACCCATGTGGGAGACCCAGAAGCAGCTCTGGACTCCTGGCTTCTCACTATCTTAATTCCAGGCATTGTGGCCATCAAAGAGTGAGCCATGTGATGGAAGATAGATGTTTCTTTCTCTCAACTCCGACTTTCAAACAATCAGTAATAAAGAATGGTTTTAAGGTAAAGAAATAGAACTTCAAATTAATAACCTTAGCATCCTCAAGAATGGAGAAGGAGAGAAAGTAGAGCTGAAAGTAAGTAGAAGTAAGGAAATAGAGTAATTAAATGGAAAAGAGAAATAAGTAAAACCAAAAGCTATTTTCTCTGAGATGATCAGTTAATTGAACAATGTTATGCCAGTAAATTCAACAATTTCAGATGAAATGGATAAATTTATTGAAGAAATAAGCTCTATCAGAACTGTGTGGAACAGTTCATAACTGAATATAGCTCTCTAGCAATTAAAGCAATTGAATTTGCATTTCAACCTTCTTCATAAAGAAAACTATAGACCTCCCTCAATATCTTCAGTGATGAATTCTACCACATACATGAGGAAGAAATTATACCAGTTCTACATAAGCTCTTCCAGAAAAATCTAAAACAGAATATTTGCCAACTCATCATGAGGCCAACATTACTATGACAACAAAATCTTACATAAAGACTCTGAGACAAGAAAAAAAGTGAAAACAAAATAGATCTCAATGCAATTTTGGTAAATAGTCCCCAACAAGATATACAAGATTTTATAGTGTGGTCAACGTTTCAGTCAAGGTTCTAGCCAGTACAAGTCAAGGAAAAGAAGTAACAAAAATGAATTCAGATTTGAAAGAATAAGAAAAAGCATCTCTGGCGGTACACAGTTTTCTTTTTTAAAATTTATTTATTTCTTTATTTGTTGAACAGGCATAGAAATAAAGAGACAAGGAGGGATCTCCCATCTTCTGGTTCACTCCTCCAATGCTTGCAACTGCTAGGGTTGGGCCAAGCAGAAATCAGGTGCCAGGAACAAAATCTGGATGCAGGGACTCACCTACCTGAGCCATTATCTGTCACTTCCTAGGGTATACCTTTGCAGAAAGCTGTCCTGGAGTGGGCAGCATGGGCTTGAGTGGAGGCACTTTAGTAAGGAATGAGGGCATTCAAAGAGGTAGCTGTGCCAATCACCTTTGCCAATAAGATTATTTAGGACATCTACGGAATAAGTCAGCCTTAGAAAGCTGGCAGGATACAGGATCAGCACAGAAAAATCAATTATGTTTCTCTATACTAACAGCAAAATAACTGGGACTTGAAACAAAGATCAGTACAATTAA